ACAGACACGAAGAGATGTCTAGAGACACACTGACACAGAGGCATGGAAGAGACAGCTATAGAGACACGACAGATGTTTACATGGACCGAAGGGGGGAGGTCAAATTTCCAAAATGTGACTTTTTTAAACTTCAACTCCCGTCCCAGTTCACCCAGACCTGTGCGATTGGCTCTCGTTGGGCCACGTGACCTTTTAAGGTCGACGCCAAGGCAACCCAGGCCAAAGTCAGTTCACGCGGACGGATGGAATTCGAGCGAGCACAGGTCAGAGTTGGCCTTTGAAATGGAGGCCATTCCCCCCCGTCATTCAAGAAGCATCGCCCCCAACACATTGAGTGTCCCACTGGACATGTGTGGAAAAGAGCCTCATAGCTCATCGGATTTCTCCAGGATAAAGATTCCAAAAGAGATTCTGTGTAACGTGAGCGACAAAAACTGCCCCCTCTCCTCCTCCTCCTCACAAGTCCAAAACAACAGCCAAGCAATAAACTTACTGCAATACAGCAGCACGTTATTATTATTAGTAGAAGCATATTATTACACTTGTTTACACAGGGAAGCTTCGTTGAATCTTCCAGACTCTTTTAGAGGCGGGTCCCTGTCAGGTTCTCACAGTGGGGGGGGGGGGGGGGGCTCGACGTTGCTGCTGCTGATGTTTGTGTGTGATCCCAATTGAGTAAATATGCAGGCAATTTTTCACCATTGGAATGTTTGGCCAATACCAGTTACAATGTATGGGCTTGTTTTTATTATCTATGGTAGGAAACCAGAGGATCCGGCAGAAGCCCTTGCAGAACAGGGGGAGAATGTAAACTAAACAAAAACTAAATTACTTTTATGTTACCAGGTAAGGGCCCAAATTAGCTCTTTTCAGAAGCGACCTGGCCACAAATGATAGCTCAACAAAGTGGCTTATCACGTGTAAAATTTTAAAGCAGCCAAATACTATAAACGCATGTTGATTCTAAATGTGGAGGGAAAAATCCGGAGGACCCAGAGAAAAATCCACACGGGGAGAGATGCAGACTCAAAACATACAGCAGGCGTCAGGGTCGGGATCGAACCCACGACCTGCTGTATACCAGGCGAGGTAGTTAACATCTCACCACTGAGAGAGAGGACACGCAAACTCCAAATATACAGGCATCCGGGTTGTGTACGAACCCACGACCTCCTGCACACCAGGCGAGGGAGTTACTTAACATCTCGTCACACACTCCCATACAGGAAGGAGCCCGAGTCTGGAATAAAACCCAGGTGCCTTTTTGCTGTAAGGCACCGCGTGTTACCACTGGGTTGCACACACTCTGCACGAATCACTGTAATAACCTCACTACTGTACTGCAATACGACACACAGTTAGTATAGAGAGGAATTATTGTTTTAACATGTATTCCTAACAAAATCAACACAAGCACACACATATAGACACGCTGTAGATGTACGCACAAATATACATACACACAATCACTTGTGCACGCAAGTATATGCCCACACGCACACAAAGGCACACCTATACACAGGTATACACACGCACACCTATAGAGACGAAGAATCCCCCGTATAGCCTTACCAGACCGATGGGGCAAGTGCCGTTAGCGAGCACCTATGAAGGGCGACACAGCACACGAGGGGGTTGGTGGCCAGCACCACGCCCGGCCGCCTTTGTCTCCCCGGTGCTGATGCTTACACACCGCACCAGGTAATCGTTGAAGGGTGAACTGACCGAGGGGAGGGCCCAGGGACGGTTCAAATATTCGCCAGCGTTATTGCTCGTGACCAGGCATCTCGCTCGGGTCACCGTACTCGTAGTGAAGTGCCCTAACCACTGCAATACCGCTCTCCCCCCCCTACACACACACATAAACACACTCGCACACCTGTCTGTCACCTGCTCCACGCCTCCCATTAAACCCAGGCGGATTTGGGTCGCGTCCAGGTGAGACGTCACAGTGTGGT